ATTGTCAACCTCTTGTTCTTGTTTTAATGTATTGAGCATATCTTTTGTCTCATCAATATCTTGGCTTATTTGGGTATTGAAAGCTTATTGGCTTTCATTGAAAGCTAGTTCGTTTTGCACAAATTCACAAAAAATGTCTTTGAAAGCTAGTTGGCTTTGCATAAATTCACAAAGAATGTCTTCCAAATTCTTTTCTTGTGGGTCATGGTAAGGTGGATATTGAGGAGGGTCATGTGGTGATGTGGCATATATAGGTAACTGATAATGTTCATTCCCCCAACCAAAATTGGGATAAAAAATTTCAGAACAATGGTCGGAGTGAGGTTGAAAAGAATTAGGTAAGACAATTGTCCCGTCTCTCAAAAATTTTCGAGCAGTTGGAATTAAAGGGCAAACCTCAATGGGATGCCCGGGAAAAATCTTCACACCACATTAAAAAAATAAAATAAATATAAAATAAAAATTATGAATATCTAACCTACGAAAAAATAAAACAAATAAATAACAAATAATAATAATAAAATAAATTAAAAAGGAACGAGATTACCGGATCTGTGATGAATCTCAAATTTGGCAAACCTCAATAGATGGCAGTGTGTTCCTTGTCTTCAAACAATTTCGCTGCAACGACGTCAAAAACTTAGTACAATTTTAGAATTGATCACCCAAGTGCAGGTTGTGCGAAGTAATAAATTTCTCAGGAGTCTAAGGTCGAACCACAGAGAATTGAAAAAAACAAGAGACACAAAACAAATAAAAAGCAAACTTGTAAGAACAATTTATTTAAGAGATTGTTGAGTTGAGAAAATATTGATTGGAGTAATTAAAACAATATAATAAAAATACTAGAGCATCAGGTACTCCCTCTCAATTCCATACAATAATGATTAAAAACTTAAATCTTAACTCGAAACAAGAATCAGATGTCGGTTGATTCAAATAACAAATCAAGTAAGAAAATCAAAAGTTATAATCAAAAGATTATTTAGGAACCTGAATAATCATCAATTATATTATTTTATGAAATAATGATAATTACATCAAGTATGGAATAACTAGTTATTTACTCGTAGGGAAATTCAAGCAATCAATGTACATGGCACAACAACTCAAGGATTTTTACAGAGCAAAAACTTTCCGAACTTCATTGAGAGGTTCTCCTCTAGCTCTAGCTTAACCTTCTAGCCAGACATAACAAACTAAAACTAGAAAAAAAAGATGGGAAAAAGAATTATCATCTAAATCCTAGATGAGAACCCCCATTTATACTAAAAATAAATCCTAAGTATAGGTAGAAGATATAAGGTTGGCTTGGAAGGAATTCCTTTCCAAAGAGAAGTCTTGTAAGGTTAAATCCGTTGCATAAAATCTTTGGGGGGCGGGTACAAAATCTGTCTAGAGTTCGAGCTTGGATTTCGCATATTTAGAGGATGATTCACAAAATTTTCGTGAAATACACTTTTGTAGCCCTTGGAGTCTTCTATTCAATACCCAAATATCAAGTAAATCGGATATTATAGTCAAAAGTTATAACCAGAATACTGAAGACATGTCAAATCCTTATTCTTCTAGGATACTTTGCTAATCCAACTTTAAATGAGTTTTCTTTCATCTTGGACTTTAATAAGAATTAAATTGCTGTCATATCTTCAAGTCTTCTTATCTCAATATTGACTCTTTAATCCTTACCAAATGCGATTCTTCCTCTAGTGATTGATTTACTTGCTTTATCCATTATTACTTTAAATCAACCAATTTACCTGCAAAATAAACCAAATAACTAGAAAAAGTATCAAACTAAAAAATCAAGGAATTCAACACATTTAATTACAAATAATATGTAATTAACCAATCATTAAATATAATAAAATAGTAATTTTGATGGTTAATCACGGTTCTCTGTAGTTTTTTCCCGAGGAGGGTTTTCTGCGTCGACATATTATTTGTGTCTCATATTGATTATTGTACACACTTGCATTTACTAGCACACACAAGCACTATGTGTTTGATGTTTTGATTGTTTGATATCATATCATCCATAATTGTGTAATTGGGTTTGGAGATTTTGGGTCAACGTAAGATTGATTACAAGTGAATTATTAATTTAATCAATCGTCGTGTGTGTTAAGGCTGTGGCCACTAAAAAAGTTCTCACATTCATTGTTTTATATTTATGAGAAGAGGTAATTATGGTAGACATAAATTTTAATTTTGTATTAATTTGGGCTAAAATTAAAAAATCTATTCACCCCCTCTAGGTATAATGTCTTGGTCTCCACGTGTATAATCATAAGAAAGATCTACATCTAGTTCCCCCTCCCAAAACAATATAGGTGATGGCGATTGTGCAATTATGACTTCTAGAGGTAGAGGAAAAGGTGCAGGTGTGTTGAGTGGTGGCATTGTTGGTGTGAGCAATGGTGGTAGTACAACCTTGGGTGTTGGTGGCACAGCTAGAGGTCCAACTATGAGAGGCAATGATGCAAGTGTGGGTGATTGTTGTAGTGTAGCTTTGAGTGCTTATGGTAGAGGCAAAGGTGCAGTTGTGTTGAGTGGTTGCAGTGTTGGTGTGTTGAGTGGTGGTAGTGCTAATGTAAGCAATGGTAGTAGTGCAGCCTTGTGTGTTGGTAGCCTAGGTTGAGGTGCAATTGTGAGAGTCCGAGGTGTAGATGTGAGTGGTGGTGGCAATGTAGCCATGGGTGTTGGTGGCCGAGGCAAAGGTGCAGCTGTGGGTGGTGGTGCTCCAACCATTTCATGTCTTCTACATAAAAGCATCTCCAACCCTTATCCTTTTCTAAACTAAAATTTAAATTTGGGTAAAAAATTTCTATAATCTGACCCAAACTCATATCAAATCAAAGGGAAGTTCAATTTTTTTTTCAAATAAAGGGAGACTCAAACTTTTACTAAAATCATCAATTATTAGATTTCATTCTCCTTTAAAAATCTAATGATCATATTCTACCCTTCTTTAAATTTGGATTTGTCCTCGTTTAAATTTGAGTTTGTACTCCTTTAAATTTGAATTTCTCTATTGTAATGTTTTGTATCAAATCAAGTTTTTTACTTCAATTACTGTTTGCTCAAATTTGAGTAAAAAATTCAGTCAATATTAGAGATGCTCTAAGGTAAGACAAAGGAAGAAGAGGAACATACAAGGGTATTAGGTTGAAGTATGATCATAACTTCTTTTTTTTCACTGAATGGAATCATCTTTTGGCTATAAAGGATGCAATCATATATGGTGACAATAGAGAAATAAATCTTCTCCTCAAGGATTTGCATCCTCATCTTCAAGCTCATGTTCTCAACTGCTTGGCTGCCATTAGGCCTAAATCTTTGAAAAACATGTTAATGTGGAGAGATTATTGGCATATGATATGGACTCCATGTAACTATGTGTGGATTACACCAAGCCCAAAATTTACATTCTTTCCTTTCTCAGACAAAATACAGTTTTCCATTACTTGGCTTCTTTGACTCCACAACCCTAATGGCTACTCTTGCACGACAAAAGCGTTCAAACCTCAAATCAAGTTTTTCACCACCAAATGAGCTAACTGAAATGAATAATAATAATAATACAAACCTATGTGATGGAGAGGATGTATCAGACCTTCTTCCTCCCCCTCTTTTTTCCTTTCTTCTTGCACCATCTTTTGCTAAATGACCAGATATGTTGGAGTAGGTCTTATATTGTGTATAAAAGGGCACTTTGGGCATTTAAATGGTGGAGACCGATGGAAAAGGGTGTTAACGTGACTTTCAAGCGCAGGTTTTCAACTTCAAGACGAAATGGACTTAAAATCAAACAATTTAATTCATGACGTTAGGGTGTTATGTTTAGGGTTTTAAAGGTAAGGAAGGAACTCTATAACGAGATTAAATCTAATGGAGGTCATCTGTGATTGGCCCCAAACTTAAAACGTTTCTTATGTTTCCAAGGAAACGGGCTGACAATTTTTCCTTTAGTCCACCGTAGGGGGGACAAGTCAACATACAAGGCACTAGATATTTTCCTTGAGGTGATTGCTCCTGTTCTTCCCTCCAGCCTATATGCCGATGCTAAACAAGTTCTTCACTCTGTAGGAGTGTTTATACACCAACTTAAAAAAAATGTACATATACATTTGTCCATGCATTTAGATGCAGCGTGTATGTTTGAAAAGGGCCCCTCACTCTGTAATATTAATTTCCAATCGGACATTGATATAATATTATAAAAAAAATTCTATTTGGAAGTTCTTTTGACATTGATATATTGACAAAGGTTTTTTTTGTACAATTAAATTCCATTTGAAACAAATGTTTTCGGTACCCAAGGATAACAAATCATGCTTTATAATTTCAACTTATAGGAACTATGCTTGGTGATAAAAATGGCTACATGATTGTTTAAAAATAATAAAAGAACGTGATTAAGGTTAAAAATAAAAACTTCTCGAAGCGTTTCCAAATTACTCATTTTTTAACTTATCAAAACAGTTTTGAAACAAAATTTTAAACCATGGAAGCATCACAACACCATAATGCAAAATCACACTTGCAAATCAAAACAAGAGCAAAGAAAAGAAAATCTTCTCATTTACAATAGCATTTGGCACAGCTTATTGGCCATACTTTCCACCGAAAAATGAACAGGAAATATTCCTCCACAGGGTAGCCAACATCAGAGTAACTGATTTTGGTGGGATTTGGAGAGATTAAGACGAGGACGAAAAAAAAAAACGCTCAGAAAGGGCAGTTAACAGTTATTAGAGCCTCCTGTACCTTCCATCCTTCTATCTTCAATTCAAAAGAAATCAACCAAATCGCCATGTAAGCAATAGGGTGTAAGGTAACAATAATACAACATGTACATCCAATCAAATCTATACTAACTTACAATATTTTCTTCCAAAGTTGACCTGCAAAGACTGAAAAAAAAAGGGCCCATGAGGCTGTGATAGCTCCCATAACAAAAAATTGGTCATTTCTGTTGGAGAAGATAACCCAGTAATTCAACTGAGAAAAAAAGAGTCAGCAGCATCTGAAGCTTTGGCACCTTGCAGTGCTTCGGCAATTCTTAGTGCCATTGTGCCTTTGTATGTAGCTAAATCTGCATTCTCCATTAGAAGCTGGGCTCTTTGACGCTTCAAAACAGCAAACTCCTCTGATCTACTTGCTGCAGCTTTAGCTTCTTGGACCTTATTAAAGATATTCTGTTCTTCCTGAGCATCTTGCTTGGTAGCAACAGCTGTAAATTTGTTGAATACTGAGGCTCAATTCTAAAGGATAAACAAAACAAATAATTTCAAGAAATAGATACTTGGGCAAACCTATATAAAACCATATTCCATTATCAACCCGAGAGTGGTTAAATTGCAATTTTTTGTTAAACATCATCCACTCTATGGATTCAAAACCAACCCTAGCCTACCTCAAACAAATCATTCTAAAACCTTACCAAAGCAATGCATACAAGCAGAAACACAAACAGATATTGGGCAAATATCCTTTGCATTTGCTGAAATGGTACTATATTATTGTACTTGTAAGTATCCATTCTAGATAATACACTTGTCATTAGGATCGTTACTCAATTTAAAAATATGATGTCATTCCTACACGCAGAGAGACCGTTCCAATGATACGAACCCATGATCCCAGGTCACAATTGCACAGCCTTAATGCTACACCAACCAATGCCCACACTAAATCCCAAGCAAATCTTATGCTTTTGTTAAAATCATTCAATTTCAAAATCCACCACCATAGACCCATCACCACCTGCCGTGGACTTTACCACCGCTTCTCATTAGATCGAAAAGGGATTGGCAAGGCTTGAATTGAGGAATGTGAATTTATTTATTTATTTTAAGTAATATTATGAGGGTTTGGTATCCCTTATTCTCTTCGTATTTTCTATTATATTATTTCTTCCTCTTCCGTCCCACATCAACCTCCAAACCCTGTAAATCTATGATCCTTCAAATTCTAGCACATTCGCCCAAACCACATGAAGAGAGAGAGAGAGAGAGAGAGAGAGAGAGAAATCACTCCTCCCTCAAACTCATTTGTAATCTTTTTTTTTTTTGGGGGTTGGGGTGGGGAGGGAGAGGGGGACTTGAACCCTTGATCTTAAGAAGGCTAAGCTTTATAAGACAAAGAGTACTATTGGATAAGACTTCGAGGCACTTAAATATCCAACAAGGAAGGGTTCTACATCATGACGGTTTAACCCAAAACCTGAAAACCAACACCCCAAACACTTCTCTATTGATTATTCTTTCTCTATATATACATATATGTCATCTACAAGGATAAAAATATCGATTCGAAATGGTCGAAACATCTGAAACGTTTCTGTTTTCAAGGAGACCAAAACAAATTAGTAATGGAATTAAAATTCTAATACTTCGAGGTGGTCCATAATGTTTCGAATGTTTTGTTATATTTCAATGCTTTTGCACAATTATTTTGAAATGTTTCAAGGTATTTCAAGATCTTTTGGTATATTTTAATCATTCTTTTGAAAAATATGCTTCAATTTTTTATTTTTTTTTATTTTGTGTTCGAAACGGGTCAAAACGTTTCTAAAACATGTCGAAACGTTTCTGTTTCCTAAGTAATCGAAACAATGCACTGAAACAAATTTTAATCCTTGGTTATCTATCTAATATTTCAGCTAACAATTTGAATTGCACATTTATAAAAGCAAAACTGGTGAGACTAATTCAATCTTCATTAAATTTCATCTAACGGAACAAAATTCATTCCAAAATTTTTTGCACAAAAAAAAAAAAAAAAACATGTTCTCAGCACAACACTCCAATGTTAGACAACTCAACTAACACACTTTTCAATGCCTGACAGTCTAATGTTAACTAGATTGTGGGTTAGTTTGATACTTTACAGACGAGTATGTTGTACAACACTTTCTTAAGTACGTAAATGGGGTAGACTTAGAAAGGTGTTTTAGGTGTCAATTCATTTTGAAACCCTTTTATCTAAAGGGCTTTCACCACTATATAAGATTACATATAATAATACATCCATAAACACACATCTAACGACTATTTATTTTACATTTGTACTCAATTTTCTATTATTTAAAATTATATGTAAATATTTATCCACGCACACATAGTCAATTATGTTTTAATTTACATTTGTGATACATGTTACAAAAGAGAATTGATTAGGGGTTAGTATAACAATTTTTAGCCGATTTGGATCGCAAACCACCCCATTTTTTATCGTATTGTCAAAATTTTAGCGATTTCTAGTAACCTATGAAATACGAACACTCTCAAGAAGGTGACATATATTTTAATTTCGAACACGGTGTCTAATACTTCTTTAGACATTGTCTACTACTAAACAATAAACTTGTATTTACAAGTAATTAACAAAGTTTAAAATTTGACTAATAAGCATATTATATTATGAGAACATATCATTACCAAAACTAAACATGTTAAATTTGTACACAAAGTATAATAATAAAAGCAAAAGATACATAAAAGATTTAGAAAAAAGCAACTGAAAAAATGAGAGTAATCATTTAAATTAGATATGTTTGGTACACGTCTACAAAAAAATTGAAGATTATTGACTATTATGATATTAGTCTAAAAATTCACACTAGAAGACTAGTCATTACATTTACTTATCATAAAGTACTAAATTTTTTATGAATGCCATTATCACTATAGTCGTGATAAATTATAATAATTGGACATTTGGCCCAATTTTATATAATAGACACAATTATTTGTTGTGGGTCCCCAACGTGTCCTACTTTTTTAAGAAATATCGTGTCCATGTCTTGTCGTATCTATGTCTCATGTTCGTGCTTCTTAGTTGATAACTATGATGCAACCTCACTAATCCATACTTCTCTCTTCTCTATCTCCTACCTCTCTTATTTTCTTTTTGTCCATTTTAATTTTAAATTGCGTAATTACAGAAAAAGAGAAGTGAAAATTAATTGCTATTTAAAATATAAATGTTACATGACCAATGCTCGATTTGAAATATTGTAGTGTGTCTTTAAATACGGGATTATTGCAAGCATTTTAATATGTAATATACACATATATAGACATGTATATATAATTTGCATACATATCAAATGGGCAAATATGTAAAACAAAACCTCTTGTTCCCTTATAGTTAACCAACAAACCCTGGAAGCACGTGTCAAGGTCATTTCAAGAATGCAAGGGGTTTCATTACACTGGTAGTTGTAAATGAGTTGTGTCTGAAACATAGAACACATGTATAATTTTACATAGACTGTAAGCTGCTGTTGACAAATAGTAAAATATTATGAGCCCAATTAATCTCAATCAAATTATGTATTGTAAGGAAAGGTAATGAAGCAATAGACAGTACAAGTCTAATGTTTTCTTCATAAGCTTTCCTTTCCTGTAAAGTTTATGCATATTCAACCCCGGTACAGCATTAAGAAAAACCAAGGCAAGTTACAAACTTACAAAAAAACACACTCACCTTGAAAGAAAGTTCTTTGTTTTCCCCTTGCAACTTGGCTTGCTTGCCTTTTGAATGATCTTTTCTTCCGCAGAATGGATTTTGGGATCAGTTGAGTTCTCCTCGGCAGGTAACACTGTCAGGAAAGATCATTTATGTTCTTGAGATAGCCAACTTGATAGGGCAGCTAGAGACAGACCATGAACTGAAATTTTCATAGTACATACGCCAAACAAAATGAAAGGTACACTGAGGCCTTCTGTTACTGGGTAACATTATAACTTTGGCAAAGCAGGTTCAGCATTCAGAAATCAGAACTTATTGGCCGAATTAAATATGTAATTAAAAAGATGCTAGTTCACTGGATTTTAAGAAGCCTGAGAAATTAACAAGGCATGCAATCATATCATTCACTCCCTTAAATTGACTGATATGACACATGGAGTTGCCTTATGGGTTTATCGCATGCTTTTAACATAATGTGTAAACTCTTCAACAACCTTTCACCCAAACTACAACTATTAAGGCTCTGTCGGTTTAGCAGTGATAATAAATTAAACAGAAACTAGAGGAAGGAATCTCTCAAATCCAAGGAATTTTCTATCTTATTTCTGGATTTTGATTTAGCACACAAATAACAAAATAGGGGCCTCACAGCTCTGCACGCAATCTTTACTCAACATATTCACTCACAATACAGTACAAAGTAATTCAGTTTCCATCAGGGCAGTGTATATTCCACAGCAAGAATGTAAAATGCAGAAAAACTTCCACAGGCTTTTCTGCATTTTACATGAACAGTATATGAATCACCTCTTCAAGAATTAGGAAAAACAACTTGCTCTTGTTTAGTTGGTTCGTTTTTCTTCAATATAGATAGAAAAGCAAACCTCTGGAAGGAAGGAAGAGGATTCCTACCAAAAGGAGGATATACAAGTAAAACATCTGAATTCCTCCACCATGCAGCATAACTGGTTTGATTAAAACCACACCCCTTAAGTTGGATTTTCTGGGACAATTCCGAATAGTTTTATGGATGCAAAAGCAAAGTATTCATGCTTGCACAAACCTAATTTGAGGGAGAGATGCATTTCATTTGCATGAGTGCGTCAGAGTGAAATTGCAGACACAGTTTGCCCAAGAAACCTGATGCCCATTGGTTCTTGGAAAGTTCATTTTTCAACAGGAGAAGATTGTGAAGGCTCTTTTGATTGATGGAAAATGCATAGCTGCCCTCTTTGTTTCTCCTTTTAATCATCTTCTCTTCTGATAGTAAATTATTCTTATATACGAGTGAAGCCTCTCTACACAAACCCCAGTTTTTATGCTATACCACCCCATGTTTTCTTTCCCCCCCCCCCCCCCCCCCGGGGCCTACCAAAAGTAACAAAACAGTTTTCAAAGAAAAATGGAAAAGAAGCAAGAGTTTGTTGTTAATGAAAAACGCTTCTCCAAATTGGATAATATCATTTCGATGGCAAATATATTGGCCATCTTATTAAAATACTATGGCGACCAATCAGAATACAGAGAGAAGAAAAAAACACAGAATAAAGGAAACATGGATACCCAATTTACAAACATGATATTGCTTTAAATGTAAAGATGATCTACAGCGATAAATGGAAAGATCAGTATCTATACAATAACATAACTTCAAGACATTGTGAGAACATACTCCTAATCCATAAAAAAATTAATGTCAAACTAGAGAGATATTTTGCCAGTACATAATGACAATTTTGAAGCAAGACGCATTTACCTGGAATATTCTCACCAGTGCTGAACGTTTCTGCTTACGTTTTTTCATCCAATAACCATGTACAGCTTGTAAAACTTCCCTTCTTTCTAGATCTAGACAATGATTTGTAGCTATTTTCTCATCAGAGTAATCATCTGGACCGCAATAGAAACCTTTCTCAAATGCATCAATTATTAACTCGAAATTCTCAGCCAGGAGTTTCTCATGCAGCTCGTTCTCTGCACAAGCATTATTAAACTTGTCTAGCCAATTTTCATCATCAGAGTCCATGTCATAATTTGCCATCCTCCTTGTCAATGCTCTACTGACCTCATCATCATTTACAGTGATATAAGAATCGGGTCTCATAAAGGGAACACCACAGCTCTCCAGAAAACTAAATACTTCACGTACCCCAGGCACATGAATGACGCTAGCAGTGGGGGTCTTTACATTTCGATCAGAGCATTCCTTATACAGTTCCTTGAAAATCAACCAGTCACGCCTGTTGGGAAACTCTAGCTTCCAATTATTATCCCCAGTCCACATTATGGCATGAGTAAAACGGTTGCAACTACATGGTCTCATAATCTTTTGTGCTGTGAGGCTGTATCTCTTTATCCCTTCCTTGTTAACAGCCAGAAACCACTGCTCAGAGGCAGAAATCTCTAAGGTTATAATGGCTCCTTCATCCCTGTAACACTTGTCTGCTTCAACAATCAATAAGTTTGCAGAGCAACTGGTAGAGTTTATGCCCTTTTTTGATCCCATTAACGTAGATTTCAGGTCTTCAATGTTCGTCCTAGAACTCCTCCGAACTGAACTCCTAAGCTCTCGGGTACATGATGGAACTGGAAATCGATCATGTCTAATTCCGAATACATTCGAAGCCAAAGCCCCTTTATCTTTGCGTGCACCAAAAACTGTAGGTTTTCTGCCTCTTCTCAACCGAAGAGAACTCCTCCTCTTCTGGATACTGCGAGAATTAACACTATTCCTTAATTGTACATTTCTGCCACTTGATTTAGGAGCTGCAATACTTGCACGTATCACCCTATTCTTACCAACGCTATCGTGTACAGATGCTGCAGTTTGGCTTCCAGATTGATCTTTCTCGAAAGAGATGCATGATGGGTGTTCCTCGGTATCAGTCATTATTTCATCCTCGATGTCAATACCAGTGGAACATATGACCAAAGTATTGAACAGAAATGCCGATTTCAGAAGCAAACTTATATGCAAATACTGGAAGCAGAATGGAATTGCAGAAAAGTCCACAACAAACAATGGTATGAAGCACCTGACACCCCAAATTTTGCAAACTCCAACATCTCTACTGGTTGTAGGATCCTGAAAACATTTTTTTAAAAAGTACTACTTTCAGAAGCAGTGATGAACAGAAAAATAACATTACAGTTTCCACTAATAGCCAAACTACAAGCAACAAGATCAGAGAACTGCAGTATAAATATTTATTTTGCACAATGAATGAAAACTACATACCTGCAAAAAATGAATGCCATGTGACGAGTAAACACGAGCAATCGGCTCAGAGGACATGAACGCAGAAAGAAGTTCCATTCTCATTCTGACCCTTCTCACGCAACTCAGAACTGAATTCAGAAGACAAGAGGGCCAAGAACTGCTACTAGAAGAAGATTCAGATTCAACAACAAAAGCAAGCATAGGGCCGCAGCATCTAGCAGGACCTTCCAAAAATTCCTTTCCCTCCATAGTACCCTTTTCAGCCACCGGGGGACTCTCTCTAGTTCTCTTCCTCCTCCATTGCTTTCTAACAAACTGTTTCCCATACCTTCTGAAATCCTCCTCTGCCCTCATCTTCATTTCCTCGTCATCCAAGAAATCAAGATTGCTTTCTGAATCCCTTTTTTTCCTTTTCCTCCTCTCATATACAACACCCCACATCCTACATCTACTATTTTCTTCAGTTACATTCGGCCTTGCCACCCTTTTTCCCGATTTGAGTTCTTTTAATTTTTCATGAATGTCAATTTTGGTAACTTCTTGCTTCAAATCAAGATCATTAGAAAGCCACCCATTTTCTTTAAATTCAATTCCCTCACCTCCACCAGGTCCACCATCCCCAGAATGATCAAGAAGTTCAACCCACTCTTCCCCATTGGCCTCTGCTCTCAAGTGCTTTCTCACCTCACCACCTCCTGGCCCAGTCCACACTCGCCTCCCTGACCGCAATACCCTTGCCCCAAAAACCCTTGTCGACCTTCTCATCCCGACCGAAGGCATGGGCCCGTGCTTACTGCGAGGCAAAATTGCAGAATCAATCTTCCCAAACTCGGTACAATAAACTCACCAACTTGGACTCGGTCTCTGTCTTACTATGCAGACTCAAATCAAGATTCATCTACTGTGTACAATTGTTCCACCAACCAAACTAGAAATCACAGGCTCTCATTCATGTAATTGCTCTTCTTAACACACCCAACTCCGACCAACTATATCTCGAGTCTTACTTTGTTACAACATGCAGATTGAAGATTCCACTACAATTCACGCATCTTTACAACCAACCGTCATAAACTCAATTTCACAAAAAAACCCAATTTGTACTCGGTGTTAGCCTCATTCCATCACTACATGCAGAGTGGGAACCATGGACAATAAGCCTCAGTCCGACTCGGACTAGAACTCAGACAGGGTCTCAGACAGAGACAATTCTCCAATCACTATAGATTCATCGACCAAGAACTCGGAATCATATTCACCAACACGGTCCAACCAAGACTCTGTGCTTCTCCGACTTGAACTCACACTGCGTCTGAGATCGTCATAATTAACAAGAACCACACACTCAAAAAACAAACCAGTACAGTTGAAGTCCTACCTACCCAAATCACGAAGCAAATGATTCCAAATCGATTAACAGACTCGGTCCAACTCGGATCAATAACTCAGTACATGTTTTCCTACACAAAACAAAACTATACAAGGAAGAAAAACAAAAACAAAAATCCTAATTTATACAAAACTGAACTCAAACCCAAGTTTTCACTCTCTTTCTTGAGAACACAACCTTTCCCCCAAAAAAAAAACGGAAAACCGATAGCTCGAAATCAAAAAATTTATACCTGAAAAGAGAGAGCAGGACGACAAAGAATCGAAATCTCAGATTTATTTGTCCTCTCTCTCTTTCGGAGATCGCGGTTGGTTTGCTATGGCTTTTAAGTTTTCACGTCTTTCTCGTTGAAGAAGAAGAGAGAGACAGAGACTGAGACAGAAGCTGCGAGGAGAGGCGAAGCGTCTAGGGTTTATGATAACTACTCAGTCGGCTGATAATAACCGTTCGATGAAAAGGAAGAACGGTTGAGATGTAAGTGATGACACAACGAAACCAAGACCTTTGACGAAGGCGCGGATATTTTTGGGTACTGTTTAGAGATATGAAAAGACGGATATATCCTTAAAGTGACGACACGTTTTGGTGGGATATATTAGGGATATGAAGTCCGGCAGAGGCTAATTTGGGTTTTTGAACGAGTGGACTGAATTGAGGCGGTTGTGTTAAATGCGGCGATACTTTCTCGGAAGAAATGACTTCGAGAGTCCCATCACGAAGATACATATATAGAGCGGCAAGTTTTGATACGACGCAATAATTCGATACAAAACATTATACGAATAAATGAGATTAAATTAAACTAATTTTTTGACACAATTCATATATGATACGATCCGTTAATATGAAATATTAAAGAATTGTGTTTGGATTTAACCTATTTAACACGAATTAACCCGTCAACACGAATTTTTTAATTTAAAAGAGATTGACTTAACCTTTCTGTTTCATGTATTAGTTTTTATGTTTTGCTGACTTATTTTTTCCATTATTTTTGATGTTTAATTTGATTATATGATATACAATTAACATATTTAATTAGTATTATATAAATAAAATATTAATTATTTGTAACTGATTATCAAGTATTGACATAATTATTGTATAAAAAAGATACTATTACTCATTATTGTTGTTATTATTATTATTAAGTTAATTTTTAATTTGTAAAAAAAATATGAGGAAAGATTCAATTAAGTGAAAATAAAATTTTAGCGTTAAATTTTTTATTCAAAATTTATGTAGGTCAACACAAATATAAACACGAATACGACACGAAAATAAACAGGTCAACTCGATACGACACGAATAATTAAATAGATTGGGTATGAGTTGACTAATGTTCGACACGACACGAACCCGACACAATACGACTTGATTGTCACCTCTAAACATTTCGATATTGAATAAATTTTAGAGTAATATTAGGCCGACCAAAAATAGAGACCAAATGACATGGCAGCCTAGTCAGCATTTCAAATAAGCTACCATGTAATTTAATAAAAAGATTAATATTTTGGTTAAAAACTTTTCAACTTCTCCACTTCCACCGTCAATACCCACCTGCCCCTTTCTCTCTCTCTCTTTCTTTTGCTTTCGTCCTCTAGTATCTGCCCTCCCCTTTCTTTCTTCTCTGCCAAAGCAGAAAACTACCCAGGAGTAATGCTACGCTGAATCACGTATTCCCAAGATGTTCAACTGTGAAGTTGTTTGATGGGTATGATAATAAAGTCACTGGGTTCAACTCTTTCCTATCGGCTAAGAAGAAGCCTATCGCCGCTTTGTCAGAGGCATACAATAGCACAGTGGAATATCAAACTCCGACTTCATCGTGGACGACACAGATTGAGTTTGTAAAAAAGGTTCAAAAGCATTTCGGAGACAATGTTCTGAGAAATAAATCGTTTCTTGATGCTTTGGGTGTGTGGCGATTTGGGGACAAGGTCATTGATCGGCTCGATCAAGAGGTTGCTGGTGTGTTTAAAGAGCTCCCAGATATATACATGGAGTTTAAGGGGTTTTATGGTGATTTTTCAGAGGAGAAATCGACTGATAGGGAGCGAATTGACAAGAATTAAAGACTCAGAGAAACGAAAAATTATATGTTCAACAAGAGGCTAAAACAAACCTTCGACTTGTGAACCAAACTCTCTAATTTGTCTCAATTATTACAACAAAGCATCTGCTACCACAAGCAAAAAAATTGGACTTTATCCATATCGATTATTTCTGAATGTTACAAATGTTTATCAGGTAATTCTGTTTCTTGAAGGACTTGTCCAATTTTTTATATGGTTTCACGATCATAAAATTCTAAGTGAATTTGAACGATCCAAAATGGCTATCAATTGATGATTCAATTAGGGGTTTTGGGGTTCAGTTGGTTGATAATGAGGCTGTCTATCCTCTGATTTCTGGCAAATCTTAGACAGAGTTTTGTATCTGAAACTTTTGTACAATTGCTAAAGCCACTGTTCATATTGATGTCCACTTTGTAGTGATCTTGTCAAATCTTCTTTATTTTGATTCTTTGTTATTGGTGGTAATCATCAGTTGTGCTTGATTAATGAATGTTAAGGAGTCTTGAATTAGCCAACAGTTTTGCTTGATTATAATTGAAATTTCATAAATGAAAAGCCAAGTTTTTTTAAATTGGAATGTCACTGAATCACCATTTGATGAGTCCGTGTTGGTCTTTACAAGAAGAACTAAGGACTCAAAAAATGTGAATTCAAGCACTTGATTTTACCTAACAATAGTTACAAAGGAGGGCAGAGGTAGCAGTGGAACTAAATGTATTAATCCCAATCTTTCACTCTCTTAGTGAGTACTTTTACAATGTATTACACAATTTTTTTTTCATTATCATCAACTGAATCATATAATTTGGAGGAATTGCATGATTAACCCTTTGTACACGACATTGACAATGTCAATCATATTTGTCAATTATACACAATCTCTAATCTTAAATCCAGTTCCAACATATAATAGCACATAAAAGTCAAATCAGGATTTCCAATGAAACCATTCCACCATGACAAACAATTTTGACAGAACACCCCCAATTCAATATACTGGCCAGCTATTTACCAAATGCTAAGAACAATTAAATCCAATTCCACCAAAATCAGTCAATAATGAAAAAAGAGGTATCAAAATAAAACATAGTTAGCCAATCTATCAGCACAACATAGTTAGCCAAAAAATTAATCTCATACATCATAACTCAATTTCCAAAATAAAACAAAACAAATAAAAATCTGTTTTCTTTGTCTTCCATTTGACTTTGAAGTTGCACTAAAAATTGTTGTATTTTCCTCTGCATTGACTTTTGCCTACACAAACCAAACTAATAGATCTTAAAACTATATATAAATGGATCCAAAAGCTATTGAAAAATTAAGAAAACTAATAGAAGTTAAAATGGTATATAAGAAGATCATAACTCACTTATTGGTCTGGACACTTTGAACCACTCTTGCCAGCATCCCCATCCTTTCCTGAATTTAGGCTTCCCTATATATAGCAAAAATTCGAAAAAAAATAAAAGCGCATGGAGATGTGAATTAGATGGAAATTAACAAATGAATATCGTACCGGCTATTGTATGATTGGGAAAAACAATCTCAATTGCCTTTTGCATTGCCTTGTCTTGGTCCGTAATTATTGCATTTGGAGTATGACCAGACATGCAAGCAACCCAAGATTGAAATAATCAAGTAAACGTCTCTACATTTTCGCTTGATACCAATCCACATCATAATAAAGTCGATTGACCATGGTGATTGACCCCGACAAAAGAAGCAAATGACATGTCATACTTATTCGTTAAATATGTGGTGTCAAATGTAATGACATCACCAAACTCCTCATATGCTGCTCTACTCCTAGCATGTGCCCAAAATACATTTCTTAAATGACCCTCATCATCCAAATCCATCATGTAGAAAAAGTTTGAATTATCACCTTGCATTTTCAAGAAATAGTTGTGAATCGCAGCAGCATTTCCTTCCCCAAGTCACAACCGCCTTACTTTGTTAATAAAATTTCTACAATCTTTCTCAAAAAAGGGAACATTGTCATGCCCACCCGCTTCAACCACAATAGAATTAAAGTTCTTGTTAATCAGAATTCCAACTCTATCATTCATTTCAAGTTTTCTTTTGATGTATGGTCTTATTATCCTGTTGCATCGATAGAAATGAGATTTAACCGGATTCAACCCATGGTTATGTGTAAGCATGATGGAAGTCACTCACCACTTGCCATCGGGACATATAGTTGCTCTCCACTTAGCTTTACAGTCAGTTTTGGTGATTGGATGCATTTGTAAGGTATTTCTTGACGTAGACTTTGACTTTCCTGAGCGAGAACATGCAAATGTCACATATTTTAGCTCTCCATCATCTCCCTTTGACAATGTTCTTCTTTTTATGGGAAACCCTAGGCCATTACCATATCTTATGTAGTACTCCATTATTTCGTCAACTGTATTAAGCACCATTCCCAATTTTGGCTCTTCTAATTTTTCTTCTACATTGATTGCATTATCAACTTCCTTCTCACAAGTATTACCATCCATCTCTGTACTTGTATAGTTAGTTGGAATTTCTTCTTCCATTCCTATCCAATAAAGAACAAAACATAGATAATAAAAAAACATAGAAATAGTAGATTGTCAATGCATTCTCAAGAATTCTGTAAGCTTCCTATATTAGCTCACAAAGCTTTAATCCTAAATTAAGATTTTGGTTATCCGTCTTCCAACATTTTCCGCCCATCACAAAGTTCCAAAAACTACAATCTACATGATCATAAGCTTTCTCAAAATCAATTGATGTGTGTGGGTGTGGGTGTGTGCTGCTGTGGGGTGTGTGTGATTGTGTGCGTGCATGTTGTGCGTGTGTGTTTTTGCAAGGGCAGAGTTAGGATTCTATCTTAATGGGGGCAAAACCATAAACAAAAAATATAATCAGCTTGTATTAAAAAAATTTTTGCATCTCCATTAATAATGACTAAATTAGGTGCATATTTCACACAAAAAATTCCTTAGTTCACCTATGGAAGTATGTTAAGATCAAAGATTTAATTACAGAATGAAAATTAAAAATAAAAATTAATTTAATATGAACAAACAAAAATAATAATATTTTTATTGCACATTTCAACTCAGTCATATATTAAAGAGAAACACAACAATGCTATTTCAAATTCCAATAATCGTTTATAATTGATCAATTCTAAAAGATATTTCAAAATAATTTCTTTTAATCTTGTCGAGAAATTGATTTTTTTAAAAAGGCATAAACACTTTTAGTTTAACACATTTTATATTTGCTAGATATCTACTGATTGTGTTACTAGGTTTCGAGCTACTAATTTAAAAAAAAAAAAGAATTAGGGACAGGGAGAAAGAGACATAAGTTTTTTGGCACATAAGTTTGTCAATGCTTAACCTATGAAATCTGGTCCAAGCTCCGGTGAGGGGCACTAGAATATGCATCTTGTTATCGGAATGCACCATCAAGTTTTTGGGTTTTTAATTTAATTATAACAAATTTGAGTGTTCTTTGATTTTGTTAAACCATTGGTATTGTAACAAAGTTCACACTATTTTGAAGATTTAATGATCCACACATTGCAGATTCTGATCACATTACTTATTTTTTGCGGTGTGGGTATGTGTGTGTGTGAGAGAGAGAGAGAGAGAGAGAAAGAGAGAGGTTACCTATGACTTTAACCCTTTTGGGAGACGTGACTGTTGGGTGGTTTTCTTCTTTGCCAGAGAAGAAAGAAAGGGGGGCAGATTCTAGAGGACGAAAGCGAGAGAGAGAGAGAGAGGGGAAGGTGGGTATTGACGGTGGAAGTGGGGAAATTGAAAATTTTTTAATCCAAATATTAATAAAATATTTATCTTTTTATTAAATGACATGACAGCTTATTTGGAATGCTGACTAAGCGGCCATGTCATTTGGTCCCTATTTTTGGTCAGCCTAGCATTACTCTAAATTTTATCATTCATTACGGAGACAGTTACTCCAGAAAAAACCTTATTATCCAAACAAGTGATAAAAGATACAACATCGAATTTTCAGTAGCTTGGTCAAACCTCCCATTACGATGCCAAAATATATTTCTTCGGTGTCATACTCTTATTTTGTATTTTCTAAGAATTTATCTCGTGTAAATTTTATTATGTTGTTAAAAAAACCTCTCATTATGATGCCAAAATATATTTCTCTGTTGAAGTTTACTATGGTGTTTGACTTAGTCATTTGGTTCTGTTAATAAGTCCTTGGTATTTGGGATTAGGTTTAAGAGTTTGACTCTTTCTTTACATGTATTACTCACATCAGTTAGCACTTAATGTAAGCAGTGAGCAATTTTCCCTTCCTAGTTGTAAGGTTATATATATAGCTACCTTCATTCAATAAACTCCAAGTTGTTGCTTCAAACACTTTTACTTATATTTAACATTTGGTATAAGAGCCACAACAGCAGTTTCCTGACTTGCTGTAGCAACAGCAATGACATCAGACGAAAATTATGTGTAGCCAGCAATCCCTCGTGTTGACGGCTATTATGATCACTGGTCCATGCTTATGGAAAACTTTTGTGTTCCAAAGAATACTGGAGCGTGGTGGAGAAAGGTCTTCCTGAAGAAGTCACAGGGGCAGTCCACATCGTTGCAAAGACCGAGACACTTAAAGATCAAAAGCTGAAAGACCTGAAAGCCAAGAATAACCTCTTTCAAGCTATTGATAGCTCGATTTTGGAGATCATCTTGAAGAAAGACACCTCAAAAGATATTTGGGACTCGTGTCAAATGAGCACAACTCCAAGCACTGAGAAAGGAGTTTGAGATTCTCCACATGAAGGAAGGATAATGTGTGAATGAGTATTTAGCTCGAACTCTCACTATAGTTAATCAAATGCGGATTCATGGAGAAAAAATGGAAGATGTTGTTGTGCTTGAAAAGATACTATGATCTATGACTTCCAAATTTGACTATGTTGTTTGCTCCATTGAGGAGTCTAATGACTTAGACAACATGACAACTGATGAGCTTAGTCTTTTGGTTTATGAACAAAAGATGAACAGTCATGTTGTAGAGGAGCATGCTTTGTAGGTGGAGTACGCTGACAACACAGGAGGAAGAGGTCGTGGACGTGGTGCATGTCGAGGCAGGGGCAGAGGTCGTGGAAGATCAGCTTTCAATAAATCCGTTGTTAAATGCTATCATTGCCATGATCTAGGGCATTTTCAGTATGAGTGTCCAAAGAGAGGCAAGGAGTCAAGGGCACACTTTGTAGAAACAAGTAAAGAAATGCTTTTTATGTCATATATTGACGTACAAAAAGATCCCAGTGAAGAAGCTTGGTTTCTAGATTCAGGATGTAGTAACCACATTTGTGGTAAGAAGGAATTTTTCAAAACTCTAAATGAAGACTTTCGAGAGTCGATAAAGCTTGGGAACAATACTTATCTCAATGTCATGGGAAAAGGAAGTATTCGAATGCAAATCGGAGATGTTACACAAGTTATTACTGAGGCATATTATGTTCCCCAGCTGAAGAACAACTTATTGAGCATTGGGCAATTGCATGAAAAGGGCCTAGTCATTCTTCTTCAAAACAACATCTGCAAGATCTATCATCCACAAAGAGGCCTCATCATGCAAACCAATATGTCTTAGAATTGTATGTTCATCTTTCTCTCAAAAATTCAGTCTCCATAGTGTTTTCTCTATCACCGACAACTTGGAATATCTTTGGCATTGTCGGTATAGTCATCTCAGTTTTGTGGGACTCAAGACACTCTATGGGAAACAGATGGTGACAAGTCTGCCTCAGCTTAAAGATCCTAAAGTGGTTTGCGAAGATTGTGTTATGGGAAAACATTCAAGAGATCCTTTTCCAAGGCAAATCAAATGGCGAGCTACGGAGATCCTTCAACTTATTCATGCTGACATTTGTGGACCGATTTCTCCTATATCCAATGGCACCAAGAGGTACATCTTGACTTTCATTGATGACTTTAGTCGTAAAGTCTGGGTGTATTTTATGGTGGAGAAATCCGAGGCCTTTGCTGCATTCAAGCTATTCAAAAGTCTAGTTGAAAAGGAGAAAAATACTTACATCAGAGGTCTAAGAACAGATCGTGGAGGAGAGTTTTTATCAAATGAGTTTGTTACCTTATGTTCCTCTAATGACATACGAAGACAACTCACCAATGCTTACACTCCCCAGTAAAATGGCATGGCGGAGCGGAGGAACCGTACAATCCTGAACATGGTACGTTGTATGCTCTGGGGAAAACAAGTTCCCAGGACTTTCTGGCCAGAAGTTGTTCGGTGGACTGTTCACATTCTCAATTGAAGTCCAACTCTTGCTATGCGCAACATAACTCCTGAGGAGGCCTAGAGTGGATCGAAACCATCAGTTGACCATTTTCGCATCTTTGACTATATTTCTTTTGCCCATGTAGCTGATCATCAACGCACCAAGTTGGAAGAAAAAAGTTTGTGGTGTGTAATGTTGGGAGTTAAAGAAGAATCAAAGGTCTATCGCCTTTATGACCCTGTTTCAAAAAAATCATTGTTAGTAGAGATTTAATTTTCAGTGAGGGCGATGGATGAAATTGGGATGAGAATCAAGACGGTCTTGTAACTGAACTGCACTGGAATGATATGGAAGATGATAGTGAGGTATGGGAAGATGACAGTACGGTTGAGGATGCAGTCATTGAGCAACATGAGGATGAGGAGGCAATAGTGCAAGATCTAGATGCTGCTGGAGATCTACCACTTGGAGATACTGCTGGAGATCTACCCGTTGGAGATACTGCTAGAGATCTACTCATTGGAGAGTCTCCTAGTCCAAATAGAAGAAGAACACAGAGACAACCAACTTGAATGAGAGATTATGTCACTGAATTAGAAGACTCAGAAGGTGAGAACTCTCTCTTGGCTTTGTTTGTTGATAGGGACCAGCTATCTTTTACAGAGCCGTGAGGAGTAAAGAGTGGAGAGTGGCCATGGACTCTGAGATTGTTGCCATTGAAAGGAATTCTACATGGGAATTAACTGATCTTTTGGTTGGAGGAAAGAAAATTGGCATTAAGTGGGTCTTCAAAACGAAGTTAATGAGCATGGTGAAATCGATAAGCATAAGGCGAGACTGGTTGCAAAGGGTTATGTCCAACAATATGATTTTTCAGAAGTGTTTGCACCTGTATTGATAACTTCAGACTTGTGATTTCTCTTGCAGCACAAAACACTGAAAATCTCCCAGTGGATATGAAGTCAACATTTTTACATAGCGAAATTGATGAAGAGGTCTATGTTGCACAGCCACTTGGATATGAAAAGAAGGGCAATGAGCAGAAAATGTACAAACTAAAAAGGCATTGTATGGATTAAGACAAGCTCCACGAGCATGGTACAGCAAAATAGAGTCCTATTTTGAGAAGGAAGGGTTTACTAAATGTCCCTATGAGCATACCCTATTCACCAAGACCTTACCAAGAGGTAAGTTTCTAATTGTATGCCTCTATGTTGATGATTTAATTTTTACTGGCAATAATGAAGACATGTTCATGGCTTTCAAACAGTTTATGAAAAGGGAGTTTGATATGACTGATTTGAGAAAGATGAGATATTTTTTGGGTATAGAAGTATTGCAGCAAGACGATGGGATCTTCATTTATCAAAAAAAATATGCCTAAGAAATTCTGGACAGGTTTGGAATGACAAAGTGCAACTCAGTGCTCAATCCTATAGTTCCTGGGGCTAAGCTTGGGAAAGACAGTGATGGAGAACCCATAGACAACACTTTTTTCAAACAGATGATTGGGAGTCTCATGTATCTAACAACCACCAGATTTGATCTCATGTTTGTTGTTAGCTTGCTTAGTAGGTACATGGAACGCTCAACAGATTTGCACCTAAAAGCAACTAAGCGAGTGCTCAGATATTTGAAGGGGAGAATGGACTATGGCATCTTCTATAGCAAGGGAGGAAACACAAAACTTATGGCGTTCACAAATAGTGATTATGCCGGCGATTTAGAAGATCGAAAGAGCACATCGGGATATTTGTTCTTGCTGAGTTTAGGAGTTGTGTTGTGGTCTTCAAGGAAACAACCGGTAGTCATGTTATCCACCACTGAAGTTGAATTTGTTGCAACATCTTCATGTGCTTGTCAAGATGTGTGGCTTAGAAGGCTGCTGGAAGAGTTGAATCATGTTCAAGAAGAGTCCTCGGTAATCTACTGTGACAATAGTTTAGCTATTAAACTTTCAAAAATTCTAGTTTTGCATGGTCGGAGTAAGCATATAGAAAATAAGGTTCCACTTTCTTCGAGATCTAAGGATGGAGGAGTAATGAAGTTAATACATTGTGGATATTAGGAGCAAATTGCTGATATTTTAACAAAACCTCTTAAGCTGGTTACTTTTGAGAAGCTGCATAGCATGATGGGAGTATGTAAAAATCCTACTCTAAACTGATTTGTATATGTAATCAGTTTAACGGAGGAAATGTTGAAGTTTGTTATGGTGTTTGACTTGGTCATTTGGTTCTGTTAATAAGTCCTTGGTATTTGGGATTAGGTTTAGGAGTTTGACTCTTTCTTTGCATGTATTACTCACATCAGTTAGCACTTAACGTGAGTAGTGAGCAATTTTCCTTTCCCAGTTGTAAGGCTATATATATAGCCATTTTCATTCAATAAACTCCAAGTTGTTGCTTCAAACACTTTTACTTATATATAACATTCTCTAGTATCATACTCTTGTTTTATATTTACTTAAAATTTATCACGTGTAAAATTATATTATGTTGTTATTTTTAACTATTATGATGAGGGTGAAAATCAATCTATATTTATGATGATGCACAAATTGGCTTTGCACACCACCTGTCAAGTAATCAGTAATAAATGCAGTAAATAAGTAGAGAGAGAAAATAAAGATTTATAGTGGTTCGATTAATGTGACTTATGTCCATTTTGAATGACTATTGTTGTCGGATACTTTATTACTTCAAGTGTGTAGGGAGAGCAGAGAGTTACAAGCTTAGAGAGATGGGAGAGAGTAGTGCTCGACTGAATGTGATACTCCCCAAGTGTTGGCGGAGGTTATAATTTATAGTCACATTCTAACAGATTGGGGCGACTTAATAATAACTAAATAGCTAATCTGGTAGAGCTGACGACCTTTTCTCAATGGGCGAGGTAATTACGGTGCTCTTCATGAGATTCAGTCAAACGATGGGGGAAAGGTTAACTTTTTCCCAGGCGGTGAGGATGAGGCTCTTGGATGACCATGCATGCTCCCTTGGTGATGTAGCTCCTCCAACCTAATGAGCTTGATCGGGGCGTGGACCATTTTGGGCTGGACTTACTAGATCGCTCTCAAGTTGGGCTCTTAATTTAAACTAGGCTTACAACGTGGGCTAGGCCCTTGGGCTTGACTCATTATTTTCCCCTCAATGCCCTGTGTCCAATGGAACTTGGAGAGGAAGACATTCTGTTGAATTTAAATTTTGGCTACACGCACAACTAGAAAAATTTCAAAAGGCTAAAACATCTATTTTTAGGCCTTTTTTGGGCGTTTAATAGCACCAATCATCGCCAAAGGCCATGAGTCATGTAGGGCTCGTTGAGAGCTTCAATTTGATATATAATAAGCTCCGTTTGGAGTTACGGAGCAAAAGTTACGGTTAAAATTGTGATCAAACCTTCTTGTACTCGAATTTCTTGAAACTCCTTTTGAATGGCGACTCCATTCCTTCCTACAGACTCCTTTTGCTCATGGGACATCATAAGCTACATAAACTCCTCCATTCACTTCCCCTTTTGGATTCTTGAAGAGCCCTAGGTTATAAATTAGGTGTTTTTGCTTTTTCCTTTCCTTAATAGGATTTTATAAAACCCTAGGCCATAAATAGAGAGTTCTCTTCCCCATTTCATAAAAAGGACTTTTAGCAAAATTCTTCAAAGCAAAATAAAGAAGTGAGATCTTTAAGTAGAGTGTTTCAGAGAACCATGTTGATTGAAGGAGAAGATGGGTCAGTGCCCATCGATCTTGAAGAGACTAGAGTTGTCCTAAAGGAGAAGGTGCGCCGTTTAAGGGAGGTTTTGAGCACCGAGGTGGGGGTGCCATGGGTGCCCACTATTGTAGATCAAATCACCGATACGGGAGAAGAGGGAGATGAGGCATGGTGTATAAGGGAGGTGGAGCCACCGCTAGGCACCACCATTGTTCGCGAGCAGGGATGATCAAGCACAAAGGGCTCGAATGAGAGGGGCCTGCTGCCGGGCGAGACATCTATAGAGCTGGGTGAGCCAACCAAGGGGCTGGGAGAGCTAGCCAAGAGGCTAGGTGCCCATGTTAGCGAGGTGAGGACCCAAGGGGCAAGCAGACCGGGTGGGAGGCGAGAAGACCCGGTGGAGGCCAACGGGCGCGTGGACTAGGCGGATGAGCAGGCTGTCCAGGGTGGCGTTGAAGAGGCTGCCCAGGGCAGCATCGAGGTTTAAGCGAGTCCAGTGTTGGGTGCCCAGGTTATGATGACCCCATTCAGGCGAGCAGTCCATGGCGTACAGTGCGTTGGGGCGAACGCCACTGGGCGTAAGGGAGGCAGTACAGCCTCGGTCATTGCTGGTGTGTAGGCTGCATCGCCTTTGGTGAATAGGTAGTTGGGTCCAATGTGGGAGACCATCCAGCAAGCCAGTTTGTGCCCGTGATCTGGGCGAGCTTGATTCTGGAATCAGGAGACAGTGTACGTCGGGCACTCATAGTGGTGATGATCCGGATCAGATTTCTCCAGGCCTCCCTACAATGGCTTGGGTAACTCTTCATGTCATAGCAAAAAAAAACACCAAGGAAAGGTAGCCCTTGACAATGATGGATCCAAAGTGAGTACTATTTATAGCACTTTTAATACGGACGCTGATATTTTGTAGATTGTCTCCACTTACCACATTCCTCCGACTGTGCTATGCCATCGAGCTGAGATGGGTGAGCCCATTTGTGATGACTCCAATGGTGACATTGCCATCTATGAGGAGATGCTTGAGGCTAGGCTCAGGTTCCCCATATCTTCTTCTATTTGTCGCACTATGCAATACTTTTCATTCACACGGGGGCAATTGTCGCCCAATGGTTAGAGTGTTTTGCTATACTTTCTAGTATTGTAGAGGAAAGTGCATCATGAGGATGCCTCTCCTGACGAGTTTCATGCAGCCTATACTTTGAGTGAGACTACTGCTCCCAATCGAGGCTGGTATTATTTTACTACGAGAGGCAAGTTGATTACCAGATTGTGCTCCAACTTTCATATCTGGAAGTCTTGCTTTATATTTGTTGGCGGAAAGTGGGCTTTAGAGGCCAATAGGGCTTTGGTACCAACAAGATGGGGTACCCCTAAGAAACTTAGTATGCCCTACACTTGCTTTCTCTCCTTTGCCCCCTTTCTTTCTTATTTTTTTTAACTCATCATGCCTCTTGCAGATTCTCCTGTGCTCTCCAATGACCAAGAGTGGAAGTTGTAGGCCGTGAGGGCTCATCTTGAAAAAGACTTTGGAGTTCTTATGTCCAAAGACGGTGGCAAGGCTGATGGACCTTCTCCGAGATCCGACAGTTCATCTTTGAAGAGAAAGGGTATTTTGATTCTTTTGTACCTTCCCCATTTACTTGGTATTTTTCATCTAAATAACACTTTTCTTCCTTTGCAGTGGATAGAACAGTGGTTGGGTCCCGCCTCTCTAGTAGGAGCACTCCTTCTCCTAAGGTGGCGAGGATGAGCGACGCCTCCCAAGTAACCTCCCCAATGGTGCCGCTTGAGGAAAGATCCCCTCAAGTGTCCCCTTCAATGGTGTCTCGGGTGGGCTCTCCTCAAGGGACCTCTCCTGTGGTGCCTCCTCGGTTGGCGACTCCTTCAGTTGTGAGTGCTACTTTAGAGAATCCCCTATCGATCACACCTTCTGCCCCCCATTTGTCCACTCCTCCTATGTGAACTTCTATAAGGCACTGATTCAGACTGGTCCCATGTTGAGCAACCCGTAAGTCATCAGGCAACAACTTGGGAGATTTGTGTTTTTGCCTAAAGTTCATGAGATTAGTACTTTGGGTACCGAGGGAATTATCATCACATTTCTAGAAGGCCTGGCTCAGGTAAGGGTCTGCTATTTCCCTTTCTCCAGTCCTTTCCTTTGTGTTTTATCATTCCTCTGTCTTTTATATTTTTCAGGCTTCAACCATATCTATATGCTTGCTTTCAAGGGTCCATTTTTATAGGTAGCTGAAGCTTAGTTATGAGGCTGTAAAGAAAGAGCTTTTCATTGCTTAGGGGAGGATTGTCGAGCTTGAAGCTATTGGTAGAGCTTGTAGCGACCCATAAGAGGTCTCGCGCTTAGGGAGACTGTTTGCTTTAGAGCGGAGGTAGAGTTTTCAGTGGCGTATAAAAGACTGCTAAGTTGAGGCTAAGCTTTCGGTAACCCGTGAGAAAGACGCGCTCAGAAAGGCTGAACTTGTGGGAACTTGTGGAGACCTGCGAGAGGGCCATGCTTAGAGAGGCTGCTTGCTTGAGAGTAGAGACAAAGGTGAAGGCAGCTCACAAGAGAGCTTCTCGGGCTAAAGAGAGGGCTGTCATAGTTGAGAGTGATTTGGAGAATGACCTTGCAGATGCCTTTTCTTGATGGTTATGAGGAGCTCCGAGGAAAGGTTTTTACTGCTTTCCCTGATATTGATGTTTCAGGCATCTTGCCATCTGAGGCGCCTGATGATGGTGATGAAGAGGACAACCATGAGAGTAGTGGGGACTTTTGATTTCTTTTTTAGAAAGTCATTTTGTAGCCTTATTTTTGTAAAAGTGATTTTTTGTCATTAATGCCCCATTGAAATTGATTGCAAAAATGCAAAGATCATTTGGAGTAAATTTAGAAATTTTTATTCATTCACTGCTCATGTCAACCAATATTGGTAACAACCCCAAAAAAGGTACAAAAATAAAATCAAGTTCCCTAACTTTACTAGTTTCACTCTCTTAAGGTGTCATTGGTAGTACCTCTTCAAGTGCTCAGTGTTTCACGGATAGAGTAAGACCTTCCTCTTAGAATTCTGGATCTTGTAGGTGTCTGGCCTCACCACTTCTGTTATGAGGTAGGGTCCTTCCCAGTTTGGTCCCAACTTTTCTTCTCGCAAATCTTTTGTGAAGAGAATCACCTTTTTGAGGACCAAGTCTCCTGGTTGGAAGGAATGAGGCCTCACCCTCGAGTTATAGTATTTTTCCATGCGACGCTTGTACTCTACGTTGTAGACCACAACCATCTCCCTTGCATCCTCTACCAAGTTGAGGTCGATGCGGAGTCCTTCCTCATTGGTGATAGGGTCATGGTGTTGGACCCTTAGAGAGTGTACCCTGATCTCCACAGGGATGACCGCCTCAGTTCCAAAGGCGAGGGAGAAGGGGGTTTCTCCAGTTGGAGCTCTTGGCGTGGTTCGGTAAGCTCATAATACGTTTGGGAGTTCATCAACCCATAGACCATTCGCTCTTTCGAGCCATGTCTTTAGATTGTGTAATACTGTTCTCACCATGACTTCTGCTTGTCCATTGGCCTACGGGTGCGCTGGGCTGGAATGAGGTTGTTTTAGCTGAAGGTTGAAGTAGAAGGAGTTGAGGAGCTTGTGTCGAATTTCTTCGCATTGTCACTGATAATGGCGTGGGGTATCCCGAAGCGACATACCAGGTTTTTCTAGATAAAGTCTTTAACCTTCGCTTCTGTTATCTTTGTCAGGGGTTCGGCCTCTGCCCACTTTGTGAAGTAGTCGACAATGACCATTACGAACTTGCATTGTCCTCTACTCAGAGGTAGGGGGCCTAGGATATCAATCCCTCATTTGGAAAAGGCCATGGACTCGTGATGACTGTTAGCTCCTCTGGAGGCTGACTGGGCACAGTGACGAAGCGTTGACACTTGTCACAACTCCTGGCGAACTCATGGGCGTCCCTGATCATGCTAGGCCAAAAGTAGCCTTGTTGAGTTCCTTGTGGGCGAGGGAGCATCCTCTAGAATGATTTTCACAAACCCCTTCATTGATCTCCCGCAAGGCATAGTTAGCTTACTCTGGTGAAAAATACCGCAGTAATGGCAAGGAGTAGCCTTTCTTGTACAATGTGTCTTGTAGGATGGTAAATTTGGATGCTCTTATCCTGAGTTTCCTGGCCTCCTGGGGGTTTTCTGGGAATACGCCCTCTTGGATGTATGCCATTATTGGGGTCATCCAGTTTGGTTCAGTAGAAGCACAGTTGACGCTTGTAGCTTCCATTTCTAGCCTACTTGGCTCGAACTAGTGACTAATGAATACTAGTCCTAGTAGGGCTTCTAAGGATAAGGTGAGCCTAACGAGTGCATCTGTAGCCATGTTGTTATCTCTCAGAATATGACAGATCTGGAAGTGGCTTCCACTTGTACAAGGTGTCTTGTAGGATGGTAAATTTGGAGGCTCTCATCCTGAGTTTCCTAACCTCCAAGGGGTTATCTAGTAATATGCCCTCTTGGAGCTATGCCTTTATTGGGGTCATCTTGTTTGACCAGAGAATATGAGGTGAGGTGTTGGGCTTCCATTTCAATTGCTAATCTTAGACCAGAGAAGAGGGCTTCATATTTTGCCTCACTGTTAGAGGCAATGAAGTGGAGCTTCATAGCATACTTAATGGGAGTGCCGTCGGGGCTGATCAAGATTAGGCCTACTCCACCTCCTTCACTGGTCGAAAAGCTGTCCACATAGAGCTTCCAGAGTGGTAAAGAGGAGGTCGTTGTGGGTTACATGGGGGCCAGACTGAGATGCCTAGGTGCTAGGCCTGGGCGCCAAGGCTTCTGCCCTGGGCACTAGGGGGTGCTTGGGCGCCAGACTTGGGAGCTTGGGTGCCTGAGCTGGCCTAGGTGCTTAGGTGTTCTGTCTGGGCGTCTGATTGCTTTGCGTGTTCTTTGAAGTGTTGAAGGCTCATTGATCTCCTCCTTTACTAGTGTAAGCTTAGCAATAAACTCTGCCAACGCTTGTGCTTTGATGGCCACCCTTGGCTGATACTGGATATCGAACTCGCCTATTTCCACTGTCCACTTAAGGAGTCTCTCAGATACATTCGGCTTTCCCAAGAATCTCTTTAGAGGCTAGTCTATGATCATAACAACGGCGTGACTCTAGAAATAATGTCATAGGTGCCTTGCTATTGAGATCAAGGTGAGTGCTAACTTTTCTAGCTTTGAATATCTGATTT